TGGCACTAGCATTTGATTTTTCCTTTGCACTACTTTAGGGCAGTTTTATAACTCTAGGGTCTCTCCTTTACAATCAATCTCCTATTCCTCTAGGAGTTTCTCCCATTCCGGAGAAATCCCTTCCCTCTACTCAAGCAGTTTCGAAAACTTTCTTCCCTGTTTTTTTCTTTAAGTATTTACGATGACTAATAAAGTTGGATTGTGATATCACGCTTCATCTGTGAGTGTGATCATCTAAACACACTTCTCCAGGCTTAAAATGTCTTTGTTTTAACCTCTAAAATTTCCTTACTTACACGTCTGGATGTGGCATTGGAGTGAGATTTTAATTTATCATGTATGAAATTAGAAGCTCACGCGTTTTTTTTCCCTTTATGACTCATTTAAAATGTTTTAGAAAACAAAAAATAGATGGCAGCATGGCATAGCGGATAAAAGGCTGGCCTTGGAATCAGAGAAACCTAAGTTCAAATACTACTTAGGATACAAACTAGCTGTGGTCTGCTATTGCCAAATCACTTAACTTCTTAGTTTCCTAGTCAAATTCTTAAGTCTATATGTGATTGAGGAGTTGCTCATCTGCACCTCTGAAATAAATTTCTAGGCTAAAAGAGTTCTCCATGCTGATAAACTGATAAAATCACTGGTATAGACTCCATTCCCTCCCAAAAAAATGACAGTTTATGTCAGAGATCAGCTCCACAGTAACATCTCTCCAAAAGTTTGAAGTTTACTACAATGCCACTTATGGAATAAAAGGAGAATATGGCCTTCCTTTCTCTCCATTTCTATTTCTTCCCTTACCAAAAAAAGAAATCTCTGGAGACAATAATGACAGGTCTTTTCTTTGTCTAGTCACTTTCCCCATCAAGACACAAGGAAAAAATGCTCATCTGGTAGGATAAGTCTGCTGATTCCATTTTAGTAATCTTTGCAGCCTTACAGAAGACAAAAGAGATTAGGGAGGAAGGTTTCCCCCTCCTCATCTGTGGATATGTTGTTGTGTCTGATCCTAAGCTAGACTAATGGTGCTGTTTATTACTTAAAAATCACTTTACATAAATCTGAGTAAAACATTTTTTCATAGCTAAGGATGATCACATATATTATTAACACAATGGTAGTATTGTTATTCATGGTGCTAAAATATTATTATTTATGAGACTTCATGTATATTTCTAGATTCTTCCTATTCCCTGACTTTTCCATATTGCCAAATCTTGCCTCTACATCTTTTCCGTATGTTTTCTTCCCTCTGTTCATGTGAACACAATCCTGGTTGACTCCCTCATCACCTTTCATCTGGATTAAGTCTTCTAATTGGTCTTGTTCCCAGCATCTCCCCTCCAAAATCAATTTTCCACAATTTGACAACAATAATCCTAAAGAAAAGGAAGTCAGACAAGGTGGCCTCTCTCTGATGTCCCTTCCAACTCAAAATCTATGAATCTCTGATTCTGTCACTGCTGTGTTCAAGAATCTTCAGTGGTTGCCTACTGCATCTAGGATAAAATATGAATTCCTTAACTTGACATTAAAAATCTTTCATAATCTGTTTCTAACCTATCATTTCAGATTTTTTTAATATCACTTGATATTCTAGCTGAAATGATCTATTTGATGTTCTCTCAAGCCAGGTCTATATTCCCCATGTGTATGCTTCTATGGAGAACGTTCCCCATACCTGAAATCCACTCCCTCCTCATTCTGACCTTTTAGAAACTTTTTGTTTCCTTCTTGCTTCAAGTCAGGTACCACCCATTCCAGAAGGCCTTTCTTGATTCTCTTTATAGTTAATCCTCTCTCAGTTGTCTTGTAATTACTTATATCTGTTTTCATGTTGTCTCCTCTTTATATCTGTTTTCATGTTGTCTCCGCCCATAGAATGTAAGATCCTTGAAGACCTTTTCACTTTTGTCTAACCCAAGAATCTAATACAATGTCTTGTACATGACAAATTCAACCAAACTTAAGTACACAATGGAGTTCACTAGAAATCAATACCATGTATGCTTGTAGCATGTATCTCCTTACTAATGGATGTTCTACAACAAAGTCAGAAAATCTCTGTAAATGCCATCACTGCCATGTATTTTTAATAATATAGATTTGGATGACAATAAAATCTAAAATCCACAATATTCACATTATTGCACTCATATTTTCCACATTCACAAAAGCAGAGTTCTTCATGCTAAAACCATGTCAAACTTTCTAAAGCCTTTTTATATTTAACTTGGGGGTGGTGGTGGTGATGAATGACCAGTTCAGTTATATTAAAGCTATTCCACTTTCCAAGACATATAGAGCATCACATGGATAGGCCTTTTACTCAAAGCCCATGACAGTACAGTTAACTTTACGTTCTGTTTTCTTTTAAAAGACAAATGTTTAGTGGGGCCAATATTTGAACATGTAAGCCATGAACAAATGAGGACAAATGGTTGAATCTTAAAACACTTCCAGCTTCAGGATTTTATAAGATCTTATTCTAAAGGAAAGAAACCAGTTAATCCTTTTTTTTTTTATTTTCAATGTCCTCATACTAAAACAATCTTTCCTTTTTAAGATACGATATGTAGTGTGGCAACCTTCAACGTCACTAAGATTTTGTAAAAGAGTTTATGGTCAATATAGATTTTTTTTCCTGCCCCAACCTAGTCTTACAATGACTCCATTGGATTAAAGGACATTTCTCCCTAGGAATATTCAACAAATATGCAGCAGTAAATTATATCTTCTAGTAGTAAAACAAAAAACAATAAACAAAAAACCCTAAAACTTTCTTACTAAATTTGTGGAGGGTAACTACTGATTTTCAGTTCTAATTTGGAAAGTACATAGAGGGCGTAGTCTTTGGATGCTCAGGAAGGCCAGCAGTTTCTTCAATTTATGACTGGAAACTAGAGAGGTAAATCATGTTAACATTAATACGTCCAAAATAAGTATTTTCTGATTGTTGGATAAAGGCTAGAGACAATAAGGAATGGGTCGTGAGAGAATGCTACTCACATCACTCAAAGGTACATAGAGTATGGTTTCCCAGGGCCAACTTCCTATCCAGTGATTCTCTCCTTTTTCTCAATTTTGCTCATCACCTGTCTCTTCCCATCCTTTTTATTTTACTCTTCTTCACATAATGTGTTCCTCTTACATTCCAATTAAATACATTCCTACTTTGCTTTCTAAGAGAGATTTTGACATTATAACAGCTAGCATTTATGCTTTACGTATGTATAAAGCTATGCTTTATGTATGACATCTCATTTAATCCTCACAACCCCTGTAGGTAGGTGGTACAACTATTCCTGTTTTAAAGATGAAGAAACTGAGGTTATGAGAGAGGTTATAAATGACTTGCCCTGGGTCATACTACTAATAAGCATTTGAGGCAGGATATAAACTCAAATTTTCTTGATTTCAAGTCTAACACCATCCATTGCTTTACCTAATCACATTATTTAAACACAATGTTTCAAGGCTTAATGAACAATAAGCAACTTTTTTTTATACATGGAGAAGGAGCATAAATTGTGCTTTCTGACTGCTGAATGTCGTTACACTTAGAGAAAGTAAAATTCCTATTTATTATAGTAATTAATGATACAAAACAGAAGTAGGACATAGAAATAGGCATTCTAGACAAATAAGGACATTTGGGCAGATTATGTATGTTCAAGCAGTCAAAAAAAAAAGCATTTATTAATCCCTAGCATATTGTGCTTAGGCACTGGAGCTACAAGGGGGAAAAAAAGATAAAATAATCCCTTATCTTAAGGAGTTTACATTCTGAATCTTAAAACTACATGTGTACTTAGTGAAATTGTTGGAGTTTTTTTTAAAGAGCTAATTGCAAGTAAAATGCATAGATTTAAATAGAAAATGTTAGGGTGTAAATCTGGTCTAATTATTATGGCTGGGATAAAGGTTGTTATCACCTTCCTGCCGGCATATGAGGAAGGAATTGAGGGAGGAAGAAATTCTTTCGGTTAGGAGAGCTAAATTAATTGTGCAGCAAGGTTGTACAAAAAAAGAACTTGAAAATTACCATGAACATGAATCACATTTCCTTGGCAAGCTGAGAGTTGCACTTGGGATGTTTCATGTAAACACTATAATGCTTTAGAAATAAGACAACAAGTCTTTGTTTCCATTTCTTTTGCACATAATGTAGTATAGTAGAAAGAACATTGTCTCCAGAGTCAAAGGACCTGAGTTCAAATCCCAAACTGACTCAGGCCTCAGTTTCCTTATTTGCAAAATGAGGGTATTGAACTTAACAGCTTCTGAGGATTCTTCCAAATCTAAACTATGATCAATAGCTTTAACTAATATCTAAAAATAAAAGTGAGTTTTTTAGTTAAGATCTGATCAAAAACTGGGGAATGAGACCTTCTATCATTAGAAAGTGATTAAGTTCCCAGGCTCACATCAGTTTTCACAGTGGTTTCCATCTTATTCCATTATATTTCTCAGTTTAAATACTATAATAAAAATACATATAAGTGTATGGCAACATCTGTGAAGTTTTGATAATTCAATTAGGGTTCTTGACATAGGTCCATTTGCTCCTTTATATGGAGCTATTTTCAGAAGTGAACTGTAAAACTGGTAGAATAAAACCAAATTAGATATTCCATGAAGATCTCATTACCTACAAAACTCACAAATCAGGTAGCACCTAATTTGAACTTTATGAGAGCATTATGCCATTTGAACTTTGTTCCAAACAAATAAACCAGGAAAATTTATTTGGGCACTGATGCTTTTTTGATGTGTATTGTTATTGCACAGCATTAGACTAATGACATTCAGTAAATCAACTATTTGGACATGGGTGCAATTAGGAGGAAAAAGAAAGGGGAGAAAGCTGCAGACATTCACAATTTTAGTCTTCTACCTGGCATACTATAGGTCTTGGCTATACTTTTTAAAAAATCCTTGCATGGTGCTATAAATTGTGTGAAATATTAGAAGTATTAAAAGGTCAGTTTACTTACTGTTTCTTGGATGCCAACGCACTGCATTTAAGTACGCATTACAGTAATGGAAGAGAAACTCATGCTCAGATTGGAGGACTTTTCCTTGAAGCAAGGGCATGAGATCACGTCCATCAATAACTCTAAATAAGAAAGCAATAGAAAGTCTGTGAGAGAAAAGTCATATGTGTCGAGGTGGGAGGGAGAGGGGTTTGAAGAAAACTTCCAACTAAAGATTCACCTTTCATTAGTAGATAAAAGAGCTATACAACTGTATGGGTCTGGTAAATGATGAAAGCCCCATCTCTCCAAAAAATAGCCATATTAAACTTCATATTCTAACTCACATTGTAGTTGTTTTTGTACTTGCATTATCCCACCTACTAAATTAGGACTTTTTATCCCTTTGTGTGGCATGAACCCTTTCTTATGAACCTCTTCTCAGAATATTTTTAAAAGAATGAAAAAACACATAAGGTTGCAAAGAAAACAAATTCTATTGAAATAGAGATGTAATTTTTCCCATTCAAATCCATGGGCATCCTGAAATCTATCTATGGATGACTTAAGAGTAGAGGTGGGAGGATTATGTGGATTCCAGGTTAAGAACTCTTGTACTACACCAATTGATAAATGGTCAAAGGATATAAACAGTTTTCAGAAGAAATCAAAAGTATCTATAGTCATATGAAAAAAATTCTCTATATCACCACTGTTAAAAGAAATGAAAATTAAAACAATTCTGGGGTACCAACTCACGCCTATTAAGATTGGCTAACATGACAGAAAAGAAAAATGACAAATGTTGGAGAGGATATGGAAAAAAAGGAACACCAATGCACTGGTGGTGGGGTTGTGAACTGATTTACCCATTCTGGAAAGCAATTTGGTACTATGCTACAAAATATATAAGGGCTATAAAACACTGCATACCCTTTGATCCAGCAATACCACTACTAGGTTTGTACCCCAAGGAGATCAAAGAAAAAAAAAAGAAAAGGACCTAAATATGCAAAAATATTTCTAGCAACTCTTTTTGTGAGGGCAAAGAATTGGAAATTAAGGGAATACCCATGAGTTGGGGAATGGCTAAACAAGTTGTGGTATATGATTGTACTGAAATACTATTGTGCTATAAAAAGTAATAAGCATGAGCAGAATGCTTTCAGAAAAAGCTGGGAAGACTTACAGGAGATGATGCAAAGTAAAATGAGCAGAACCAGAAGAACATTGTGCAATGATCACCTGTTAATGACTTAGCTTTTCTCAGCAATACAATCATTGAAAACAATTCTGAAGGACTTATGATGGAAAATGCCATCCACCTCCAGCGAAAGAACTGATGGAGTCTGAATGCAGACTGAAGCATCCTTTTTTTTTTTTCTTTCTTTATTATTCTTGGTTTTTTGATCTTCATTTTCTTTTGCAGCATGGCTAATATGGAAATATTTTACATGATTGGTTATATATAATCTATATCAAATTGCTTACCCTCTCAAGGAGGGAGGAAGAGAACCTAGAACTCAAAATTTTACATGACAAATGTTTAAAAGTTTTGTTTACATTAATTGAGAAAAATAAAATAAAAATTAAATGCTAATTTAAAAAATAAAAGAACTCTTGTACCGGATCCCAAATTCCTTGAAGGTAGGAGTGTTGAAGCCCTTATGCTACCTAGTATAGTGCTTTTTTCTGGAGTCAATCTGGTATGGTAATGGATGAACTAGCTAATAAATTGTTGCAACTTGATTGCTTTGTGGAAAAATCAAGATGGAACAATTTAAGCTACAATTACTTTGTGAAGAAATCAAATGAAAAGATTAAACCACAGTCAAGATGACAGTATGAAGGTGGATGGTATGGTGAAAAGATCGTTTAGTTAGAGGACCTGGACTAAATCTCAGCAAATATGTGAATTTGGACAAGGCTTCCACAAGTTCCTTTTTCCATCTTAGGTTGTCCCTACATGAGAAAAGTAGGCAATATCCACTAGGCTCTCTCAGTTTAGTCACCTCTCTTCCCTATAACCTGCTCTCCAGGTCCTTGATGTAGTTTTGATTGCATTTCCTGACAATAAAATCCAGTTGTACTGCTTGGCTTATAATATTAGATGAGGGAGGTATAGTTCTCTTTACTCAGAACCAAAATATATGGAAGCTAAAACTTTACATCTTTCAAAGAATGATTATTTTCCCATTAAAAATGTTTTTCTTTTTATCTTTGTATCACCAGCACATATGTTGCACAGTGTCAATCTTCCTGAATTAGAAAAGAAGCTTCCTGTTATAATGGGGATGGGCTTCCCTAATCACCCAGTTCCTATTCTTTCAAGGGTTTACAGTACACTCCAAAAGACTCTAACCTATACAGCTTGTAGGAAGCGGAGAGAACAAGAGTTTTCAGAGAAGGCAGCTGATTGAATTAAGAGAGAAAATGGGAAAATCATGTTTGTGGTGAATAAATAAGATGGCAGAAGGACTTGTATGGGGGACTCTGATGAACTACAAATGTTGAGCCAGAAATTGGCAGGGAGGTTATGACTGGATGATGGAAAAAAAAATAGTGTGACTTTTTCTAGGCTAGGAAGAAGGGAAGAATAATTGAGAAATAAAACTACAGAAAAGAATAGGACTTCACTATGTCCTTGAGAGCTGGAGGTTTCTAAGTCAGGTGAGTCTATCTCCACAGGTTCCCAGAAGCATTTGTAGGACTAAAGCCCAGGTATTCAAAAGGTCATTTAAGTCAGCTGATTATATTTCCTTTGTATGCTTGGTATTTGATTGGAATAGTCAGGAATTCTAGATTAGAGCTAACAGTCCCAATGAAAAGAAGCTATATTTATAGACTGGTAATTTTCAGCTTAAATATTTCAAAAGCAATCAATGTGTATGTTAGTTCTACGTATTTAATGCATGTTCATTTCTCCAAGATTACAATACTAGTTCTGCTAGGAAAAAAAATAACTGGGAAGCAGTTTTACTAAGAATTCTGAAAAGAATTCTGGGAATCGTAGAAGAGGAGGGATCATTTTTCTAACACTTTGCAAAAAATACCTGCACAACAAATATTTGTTGAATTTAACTTAACTGGCTAATTAGCAGAATGCTGAAAACTGGCAAAATTCTATCAAAGTCTTCATAACTTATTTCTCTTGATTTTCTTTTTGCATAATTCAAGAAAAATTTTTCCTTAAAAAGCTTTTTTTTTTATTCATAAATTTTTGTTTCCATAGAAGTGGTACTATGGCTAGAGAAGACAATCATATCAAGTTCATGGACAATTAGACTTATGAAGAAAAATAAATTCAAAATATAGTAAGTAGGCCTACACTGAAGAGCTCTTCCTAGTCAGAATGAAATGCAGTTAGAATTAAAGGCCCTGACTAGAATTATGTATCATATGTTTACGATGTTTTCAATCTACTCATAAACATACTAATGGGTCATGGAAGGAATTGCCTCAAGTGGTGGGAGAAGGTATGCCATGAGATAAAATGATTTGGAAAATCAGTCCCAATCAATAGAGAATTAAGAGAATTTTCTTAAAGAAAAAGCTAATTACAAATTTGCATTTTTTTTAAAGTTGAAATAAAATTCAACAAGCAATTACTAAGCACACACTATATCCAGGGCACTGTGTTAAGTTGCTGACCAGATGAAAATATTTACAAGCAGAACAATGCAATTGAAATCAGGGACAAATGGCTCTTTGAAAGAGTTAAAAGGTTTAGCTTCCATATCTTCTTATTCTAAATAAAGAGCACTAAACTTGCTCTATCATCTTCTATCACGAGGCATGAAAAAAATTGAAAAACATAATAAGGCTATTATACATATACATATAACATTATATATCACATATGAATGTTTGAGTAGTGTTGCATCTTCTGAGCTGCCTGTCGTTTATTCAGTGTCATTAATGCCCCTTAATGTAATTATAGTCTTGTTGCTTAACTCTTCTCTGGTCTTGGCCCTTATTATTAATCATGAGCTCTCAAAAAGCTTGAGGACTGAAAATTTTCTATTATCATAAGTTAAAAATAAGAACAAAAGATAAACTTGGACCAATTCCCAATCCCATTTTCTTGTTAACTATAATAGTTAGAATGAGAAACATGGTGGAGACAGTTCTATTCAAAAACAGCATCTATTCTGAAATACAGTTTCTATTATAAAACAGTAGTTACTGTCTTTAGTTCTTTTCAAATCCTTCCCAAGAAGGATTCAAGACATAATAATGTAACATTTTGAATTGGGCAGAAAGAAAGGAAAGGAAGGAAGGAGAGGTAAGTAGGGAAGTCATGTAGGGTGTGTGGAACCATGGCTCTTAGTGTTAACAAAGCTGGCAGGGGAGGTGAGGAGCAGAGATGGGCAGATCTTCAAAATATATATTGTTATCACCTTCCAGTGGAAAGAGAATCTGTCTAGAAATCCAGATGGTGACATAGTACCTGTTTGCCAGCTGACAATGACTAATTTTACCTTTTGAGAAGCTACTCTTTGTCTTGTGCCCACTACAAGTAACACTAGAATTTAAAGATAAATATGCATTTTGAAAAAGTGATGATAATACGAAACTAATCTTACTTAAGTTTTTTCTGCCTCATTCTCTCCCACAAAAAAAAACCCTCAATGCTTAGAGCCTTTTTGATTATTAAGAAGCAAAAGGACTAGATTTTTTTCATCCTTTTGAACAGGAAATCTTAGTTTGCAGTCATTTTTAGCTTCAAATGCAAAGATGAATCTCATTTTTTATATTCTGTGCCTAACATGTCATTTCCTAGAAACACTCAATAAATCAACTGCCATGGTGAGCCAATTTACAACAGTGCTGCAGAAATATTGGTCTTTCAAAGTAGAGCTCATTTCTGCCATGAAAAATGGAAAGCAACCTGATTTGGCTGAACTTTTCAATGGTGCCTACACTCACACAACACTTAGTTTCTCAAACAAGTTTGCATCCAGAATCACCATTTACACCATTGGAGTGCAGCATGAATTTTCACAAAATAGGAAGCATGATCCCATTAAAACTGTTATTCCATATATGAACTTCCAATATATATTAAACTCAGTAAGCGCATAGCACACTGCTTGGTGTATGTACTTAGTAAGTACATACTAATAAATGACTTGTCAATTGATTGGTTCAAATCTTCAGTCTTTTAAACCTCCATTAGAGCAGTCTGTGTTCTAATGAAATGTTATAGCTTATATTATCTGCCACACAACTCATTTCAATTAAGAATTTTATGTTATGGCCATAACATAAATAATTTAAAGACTACTGTAGTGGTTTCTCTCATTTGTTTTCAGAAAATTAACTATTTTTTTAAATTTTTTGTTGGGAAAGTGAAATTATTTGGAAATCACCCTTGGTAGCTTGCTTTTAGCATTAATAATTAATTTATATGGCTCCATAGTTACATAACTCGAGGTCAAGCCAAATGCCATGGAGCTGAACTTAACATTTAGCTAGAAATGATTTTAGAAACTTCCCCAATAGGTCTTTCCAGTTGTGCTTATATATAATGTATGTTTAACAAAAAATAAGCAATAGCTATTTCAGGGAAATAATAGTCATAGAATCAGGTTATTGTTGTTCAGTCATTTCAGTGATGTTCAACTCTGCGACCTCATTAGGAGTTTTCTTATAAAAGGTACTTGCATGTTTTGCCATTTTCTTCTCCAGTTCATTTTACAGATGAGGAAGCTGGAAGCAAACAGAGGTAAGTGGCTTGCCCAGGGACACACAGCTAGTAAATATCAGCCCAGATTTGAACTCAGGAAGAAATCTTCCTGACTCTAGACCCAGCACTCTATCCACTTTTCCACCTTCATAGGGTCATAGGATTTTGGAATCGGCAAAGACCTTAGAGGTCCAACCTTTTTTAAGAGTTTTGGAAAACAGAGCCTTAAGAGCTAAGGTGACTCACCTCCAGTTCATACAGCTAAATGTATTATGAACACAAATAAGTAAATTTCTTCATTCTAACTTAATAAGGTAAAATTGGATGGGAAGCAGAATGGCATTCTTACTTTTTTACAAACTATAGGAATATGGTTCATAGTATTAAGCACATAAAACTTGGCTATTGAGAATATCTTTAATTGTGTACACTTCCCAACTGCCTTATAATAAGATCTAGCTTTATAAATCTCATCCAAGATCAGAGAGGTTGTGCACCTACTTTGCAATCTCTGTGGCTTTGTGCATCATGGGCTCTTACTGTCAGGTTTTAATAACAGAAACAGCAGAACAAAATAAAGGGTAGGTACACCCCCACCTCAAAGAGTGCTTTTTCACCAATTCTGAAATAGCTAATATAAAATTCTTAGAGTAGTGATAATGTTTCAGGATGCCTAGATGATTTTCCACCCCCCAATTCTCTGCCAAAAGATTTCCAAAGTAACTGTATTCTTTTTTAATAACTCTCTTTTGCTCCAACATATCTTGTATCACCAAAGATTTCCCTTAACTTGTATCCAGAATCCATTTGTTTCCAAGTAGGGGGAACTAATTTTTGAGTCTTTGCCTGAGGTGATAGGGCATCAAAATTCTTTTGATAAAACGCATGGAAATTAAATGAAAATAAACTATTGAATTATACAAATGAAATTGCCATTCACAAAAAGAATCTTGATGAAGGCACACCACAGGTTTAAATTAGGGACCTTCTCTCATGGCAAGTTTAAAATTTGCAAAGCAAAAATCCCATAGTGGAATGTGTTACTCGTGCTCTAAGGATATACAAGCAACCTTTTTTACCTAGGAGGAAACTATGACTATCTGGGCTGTTCTCCTCTCTGGCAAACCTTTGACTGGACAAGAAAGTACTCCCTAGAACAAAAAAAAAGTTTCTTTAAAGGAAAAAAAAGGTCTCTTTGCAGGAAGGGAATCTGATCAAAAGCAATTCCCAGATTTCCATAAGTCTGGGAAGAAGTTTGTAAGAACAACATAATTAGTAATAGAATACCCCAGTGCTTTTCTACCTAGGTTAGTGCTCTTTATACAAGTTCAATATCTGGAAATTATATTATTCTTTTGAAAGCTATTATGTATAGTATTATTTTAATTACATTCAAGAAACATTTGTTTGCTTTCACAAAATACTAAGGTTCTATAGAAAATCTTAGTTTAGACAAGAAATTGTATTTACCTTAATCTAATAGAGAAATGACAGAAACATAAATAACTATTGACACACAATATTACACAATAAATGTGTCAGAGTTACAAGTCAAATTGTTATGGTCAATGAAATAGAGGAAGATGGTGCCTGATTGAGGGATCAGAGAAGGAAAGCTTTGTGTAAGAAGATATGTTGCTTGGGTTAGCTGGTAAGGGGTGTGGAATAATTCATCAGGCAAAGAAAAAAAAAAGAAAATAAATTCCAGGCATAGGAAATTATGTGAATAAAGACACAAGGGTGGAAAATTCCAAGGTACATACAAGAACAAAAGAGGGACATGGAAAACATATCACTACAGTATCTAGCAGGAAATAATATAAAATAAGGCTGAGTGGTGCCAGATTGTAAAGAGACTTGAATGACAAGCAAAAGAATTTAAACTTTACTTAACAGTGATAGAAAGCCGTTGAACATGTTTGGGCCTCTCAGGAATGATGATTGGAGCTATGTACATAAAATACTGTAAGATTGTACATAAAAGATTAATATAGTAGATTGCATAGTGGATACAGTGCTGAACTTAGGGTCAAGAGAACTTGGGTTTGAATATGCATTCAGACACTAGGTAGCTGTGTGAATCTGAGCAGGTCATGTAATGACTGTGAGTCTCAGTTTCCTCATCTATAAAAATGGGGACAAAACCAATACTGACCTCCAAGGGATTTTGTGAAAGTTGAATGAGGCAATACACACAAATCATTTTATAAACTTAAAGCACTAAATACACGTTAGCTATTAGTTAAGTAAACAAGCTTTATTAAGTGCTTACTATGTGCTAAGCACTGTGGACACGAAGAATTATTTTTATTATTAATCTGGTAGTGGGATGAATGATGGATTAGAGGAGTTAAAAGTGGGAGCAAGAAGATGACAGGAGACAAAGCAATAATCCAAGTCAGCAGTAATGAGGCTGTCTACTGTGCTAGCAGCAATAACAACAGAAAGGAGAGGCCTGCACATAAGAAATGAGAGGAAAAAGTCAAAGAAGGTCTCAAGCACTGAAGATGAATGGTGGTGCCAAAAACAAATTGGCTCCAATGAGACCAACCAATTAATATACAATATAATACTTTAGAGGTCTGATATTCTTAGAATGGTTTGATTTTTTTTTGTTTTAAATGTGGATATGAAACTAATTTAAAAGAAAAATTCCCCAAATTGAAAGCTAGAATAGTAAAGACAATTACAATCCTGTCATATGAAAAGAAAATGCAATGAGTAAAATAGGAGAAGATTGAGAAAATTCCAGTTCAACCCCTCTTTGAAGCAGTAAGTGAATAATAGATTGTCAGGAAAAAGAAACAGATGCTTAAAACACCTCATTTTTTCTTCCTGGTGTGATTACACAGGAAGTGAGAATAAGGAACTGACAGAGCAAAAAACTGTTATGGAAGCATTCCCTATTTTTGAGGAAAAAAAAAGAATTGAGGACCAGAATTTGAAAAAGATCAGTTTTGAGAGCTGAGAAAGCACATCTTTGAATTCTTTCCCTGTTGAGTTGCTATTTTATTGGCTTTTTTCCCCTTTTCTCTTTGAAAGGGTAGAGGATGAATTTAAACAAGATTTGTAGTAGCCTACATGACATTAGCCTGGCCTGTAACCAAATTAATGAAAACAATTAATCAGTGTACTTCAAATAAACTCCCCAGAATAGTAATAACACTTAAGAAGAAACTATTGGCAGTGTCATATAGAGTTGTATTTAAATTTAAGACACAGACATTTAGTTTAGTATTTGCTAAATGAAGACATGCTGGTAAATTGGGGTTTTAACTGTTGTGCCAGATGCCTCCCTTGTTGCTACTGCTGGGAGTTCTTGGAGAATGGGACCAAAAAAATGGTGTTGGAGGGGAAAAAGAGGACTGGGAACAGGCAGCTCCATGGCTGCTACCCACTAATAGACCAGTGAAGGAAACTGGCTGGGAAGATCCAAGAGGTGAAGTCAGAGGGTCATGTCAGAGACTGCTAATTGCTATGATTCTCATTCTCTCCCATCCTTGGTGTCTCTTCCATCCTTCTCTCTCTCTCTCCTCTCTTCTCTGTTTCTCCCCTCTCTCTCTCTTCCCCTTGTCTGTCTTCCATCCCCCCTTTAATTTTTAATTTTGCTTTACCCATTATATATTTCCCAGCAGAGGATCACAAAAACAGTTATATTTGTCCAAGGTAGGAGGAACAGACTTTATCTAGCTACACTATGCCAACAATGAGAATGGCTTCTAAGTGGAGTCAAGTTACAGACCTTCCTTTTTTCCCTAATTTTTATTTTATTTTTCCATTAACAAGCATTTTTTTGTTTCCTCCTCCTCATAAAAATACACATGGTCAAGCAAAGCAAATTAGAACCATGTTTCTAAATGCCTTTAAAGCTCTCTTGCACTTTGGAGCTCACAGGACATGATGATAAAGGAAGGGTCTTTCAGATGTATTGTTGGGTTGCTTACTCAATATTTAAACAGCCACAGATGACAAATCTTGCCTAAGTCACTGTAGAACTTGGACAATCAAGACCATGAGATCTCAGATTCTAATCGAATACTATGTAAATATAGTACCTGTCATCAGGCAATGTTGCTCCTGCAAGTTTGACAATGGTTGGGAACAGATCCATGTTACTAGTGGGCTCATCGATCACTGTTCCAGGCTGTAGCACTCCTGGCCAGCGAAGAAGTCCTGGAATCCGGATACCTCCTTCCCAGTTATTAGCTTTTCCACCTGAATGAGTGAAGGATACAGAGCAGGAGAGACTTATATTAGATGTTCTTGTAAAATATCCTGACCAAGTTCATATCATATGTTTTGTGTATGAGTAGGTGTAAGAGAAGAATGTTTAAGGGTGAAAAAATAGAAAAAGAAAAGTTCTTGTGATGTCAACTGGATTCACAAGAATGTACTGAGTACTATGTGGTTAGCACTTATGAAAGAAAATATACAGCATGTTCCCTGCCCACAAAGTGTTTGGAGATAACATTTTTTGTCTTGAATTGTTTTTGTTTGTTTGTTTGTTTGTTATAGTAATTTACCACAAAAGGCTGTTTGGATAATTTTCTTTTGTAATTTCATGAGCAAAAGAAACTTTAGCTATGGAATCTCCCTCCATCAGTGGAGATCAACATTCTGTAATTTATAGTCTTAGAGAGCTACTTAGGGACACTATGTGGTTAAGTCAATTGCCCAGGGCTCATATGTTTGTATGTGTCAGAGACAGACAAATCTGGATTTCATGATTTCGGGATGGGCTATCTATTCATTATACCACCATGTTCTTAGTTTAGAGAGATGAGACAAATTCAGAAAATAATCAGCGTAGAATATGAGAATCTAAGTAATTATGTGCCTGTATTTGTGATAAAATAAAACAGTATAAGCAGGAACCAGAGCAATTGATATGGACCAAAATTGACAGGGAAGACTTTATACATACAGAGGTAGAACCAGACAAATTGGATACTAGATGAGTACTGAGGAAAGTTCTCCCAGAGTAAAGAGAGGGGATGAAGGAGAAGAATGTTTTTTTTTCCAAATAATAAGCATGCACTAATAAAAAGATCAAATCTCTTCCCCCACAATGTGTTTTAATATGTCCCCAAAGTGTAATACAATTCTGGTCACATTTTAAGTGATCTGGACAACTGCAGATTTACTATCCCTACATTAAAATAAAGGAGGCAGCTAGGTTGCTCAGTGGGTAGACAGCAAGCCTAAAGTCAGTAAGACTTGAGTTCAAATGTGGCCTCAGATACTTACTACCTGGTCAAGTCAGTTAACCTCTGCCTTAATCCAATGGAGAAGGAAATGGAAAACTATTTCAGCATCTTTGCCAATAAAACACGATGGACAGTATGGTCCATGGGATTTTGAAGAGTTGAACATGACTGAATGACTGAACAATAACAACAAATATTAAAATAATGGGGCAAGAGAAGCAAGTGTGGTTAGGAAACAAGAGAGTCTGTCATTAAAAACCTAGATAATAATATTTTGTAAAAGAAAGGTTTTATTACCTTAAAGTATATGTTATAAACATATACAAATTTGTACTAAGAAAAATGGTGTAAATGAGAAAATTTCCAACATTTTATAGTAGGAAAATTGCAAACATTAAAGTTCTTTAACATATGAAATTTAATTTCTGAGGATAAAAATTAAAGGCAGCCTGAAAGATCTCTTAATTTCTTGAATGCTTGATTTGATAAAAAAAAAAAACACCTTTTTGTTTTGTATTGGGTTCCTTTCATTCATAAGATCTTAAAAATAGATGCACTGATCTGTATTATACGCACCACTTTCCAGGCCAAAAATAAAAGGAAAAGAAAAGAAAACTTCAAAGGTTTGTCATCTTCCTGTTTATACAGACTCTTTCTTTGAGAAGCTAAGGGTGCTTTTCTTCTTAATCACAATATTCTCAACAGCACCTTAAGGTAATTAGGTGACAAGTGTATTACCCCTGTTTCACAGATATAAAATCTGAGAAATGGAAAATTTAGATCATTTTCCAGAGTTCACACAAGTTGTCAGGAGCAGAATCCTAGGAGGATTTTCAGTACATGAGTTCTAGTCTGGTTAGTTTTATACTAGGCCAGATTTTTTCAGTTTTTGCCTTCGCAATTTTAAATCAAAGCTGTTACATTTACAGAGTGATCATTCAGTGATGTAAAGAATATCATCATCAGTATGTTTGACACATTTTCTTGGTCCTATATGGTTAAGGAAAGGTAAGCCATAAAATTTGAAGATAGGCCAGAACACTGATACACTAAAAATGTATACCTCTCTCACCTCCACAATTCCCTTTGCTTATTTATTTCAGTATTTCAAAAGATTTGATTTCACCTGGCTGAATGTTCTCTCCTGACAGATATTACAATCCTTCTACATTTCAGTTAGTGTTTTCATGAATTACTGAAACCAAAAAGATTCATCTTCAAGTGATTAACTGTCCATATTAATGAAACTTTTTTTGAGTTTAACTAGTCTGGTGCTCCAGGGCAGCTAGATGGTACAATGGATAGCTTGCCAGGTCTGGAGTTAGGAAGACTACTGTTCCTGAATTCAAATTTGGCCTCATACACTTACTAGCTGTGTGACCCTGGGTAAGTTACTTAACCCTGTTTGCCTCAGTTTCCTCATCAGTAAAATGAGCCAGAGAAGGAAATGGCAAACCACTGGTCCATCTTTGCCAAGAAAATACTAAATGAGGTTACAAAGAATCAGATGCAGCTGAAAAATGACTGTACAATGATAGGCTGGTATTCAGATGACAGGCACAGTCCATTCTTGAGCCCCTATCTGAAGCACAGATTGGAGAGCCTGGGTCCTTGCTATGCCCCAGCACTATAGATGGGCAGGACTTTAGCGGAACTTTCACATATTGATTAAAATAAATACATCACATTTTTCTCATCAGTAATTTTCTCATTATTCTGAATACATTAAAGTTTAGCTACATGGCATTAAAAGGCAAAGAACAGTGTGACAGAGTTAAAAGGCATAGATATAGTTGCAGGATTTGGGTTTGAGTATTTTTGTTGTTGTTGAGTCACTTTGGTAGTGTCTGATTCTTTGTGACCCCATTTGGGGTTTTCTTGGCAAAAATACTGGAGCGGTCTTCCACTTCCTTCTCCTGCTCATTTTACAGATGAGAAAACTGAGGCAAACAAGGTTAAGTGACTTTCCTGGGATCATATAGCTAGTAAATGCCTGAGGCCTGATTTGAACTCATGAAAATGAGTCTTCCTAATTCCAGGTTTGAGTATATGCCCTACAAATTATAGTGAAAAGTACATTAGTTTGAGTCAGAAAACATAGGCTCAAATCGCATTTCTAGTACTCTGTGTGAAGTGAATCATTTCATCTCTTTAGGCCTCAGTTTCTTCATCTATGAAATGAAAGTGTTGGATAACAACTAAGATTCCTTCCACTTCTAAAGCCAGTTCAATTCTCGATACTACATCTTAAGAACATTGATCAGATATATCTCACATTCCAAGGAAAATAATTAGGATGGTGCAAGGACTGAAAGCCTTGCCTTATGAGAATAGCCTGAAAGAACTGGTGATATTTATCCTGGAAACATGATGTTTCAATATCCAACACAGCTGAACTTACTCAACCTTCAACACATGGGAAATTTTAGCTGTGTAAGGTTTTCCTCTCATAGTTCACAGTTTGTATTTAGAAGGGAAAAAAAGGTACACTGATAAACATAATAGCATTCTATTTATGTAAAGCTATAAGAAGAACTTTTTATTAAACACATCAGTAAATGTTTTTTTTTCTAAATTGTAACAGATTTGCACATTAATGCCCACATTTCTATAGGGAAAACCATGTTTTAGGAAGTACAATCACACATTCAAGAATATGTGTTTATGTGCATGATATTTGTCAGATGGCGTAGCTTGTTGTTTTTTTTCCTAAACCAGCCTCACATTTCCCCCCCCTTGGAATTAAATATGCCTATAATTGTCACTAAATTTAAAAAGGATATGTATCTACCAAGCAATGGATGCAATGGAAACAAAATCCAGCAGGCTGAAAGATGAACATTCATTGATTTGTTTATTCAATTAACATTTATTGGCCACTTACTATAAGCAGGAATGCTCTGTGCAGGGATTAGGGGTGGGTGGAAAAAGTTACAAAGATATGGCCTCTGAAAGCTTACACTCTCCTAAGGGAGATGTGATGAACACAAGACAGTTATAATACAAGTCACTCTGTGTTACATGAGTGGCACAGAAATGACATACCATGAAAGTAAAAAATCAGAATGATCACTTGCAACTGGAATAATCAGGGAAGGAGCTATACTTTGAAGAATGGGTAGGATTTAAGAAGACAAAAGTAAGAGTAAGTCAAATGTTCCAAGTGGATAGGACAAAGCGGCATGGAGGTGGGAAATTAAAATAAAGGCTTAGGACACAATAATTAAACCAGTTACCCTGAAATAAAGGAAGCTGGTAGTAAATAAAGCTGGAAAGTTAAGATAGAATCAATTTATAGAGGACCCTGAAAAGCCAAGCTAAGTAAATTAAAATTTATTCTTCAGGTAGTAGGGAGACATTAGTGATTTTTAGCAGGAATGTCAAGATGTCAATTTAAAATTTAGTTTTAGATAAGCTTACAGGTTAATGTTTGTAATAAAACTTTACATTACATGAGACCATGTAAGAAGGATAACTGAGAAATAATTCTTTCAAGGCATACAAACAGATTCAAATATGTCTTGCTCTGTCCTTCTGCAGGGGACTCTTGCTATGAACAGCTGTTCTCAAAATGGGTTGCTATTTTTGCACCTTATAAACGCTACCACACAGTAAGTCAAGTCAATTTTAGTGGCAGAATCATATGCTAATAATTCTTGCATTTGATATTGTTTCAGGATTTTCTACAAATAAGTTTCTTGCTTTTCATCCTTTGGGTTTCCCCTCTAGAGAAACACTGATTTACAAACTTGGTGCAAACCACTTTAGAGTATTTATTCTTTGCATTCACCACAAATCGAGTTGTTGCCCAAGATGTAGTATTTTATATTCCTTTTGGAATTATCAAATGGTTTATTTGTTCTAGAGGAAAACAATATGGAATTCACTCACTGAAGATGAGACAATTATCAGCCTAATATCAGAAATAATAAGCAAGTATAAGGACCTATCATCTTGAAATCAATGGTCAAAATAGAGGAAAAAAGAGTGCCTCTTAAAATTAACTAT